TAGGACAAAAACTGTACATGAGGACACGACAAACAGCTGCAAAAATGCAAGGCACTCTCGAGACGGGATTGTCGTCGTATCCGCAGCTTGGGACGAGAGGAAATGGCGTTGCTGAACGAAGAGGAGAATGTTGTGAAGAGGCAAATAAAGAATGCCTACGAATTTGAAGCAAAAACTCAGGAGTCAAATAAAAAGGAATGAGAAAGTATGTCTCAAAAAGTGTGAAAAATGAGTAAATAGATGATGATGATGGAACGGGATTTCGTGATGCGAGCAAAAGGTTTGCATTCAGTCATTAAATAACAAATGCTTTACACAAAAAGCTTTGTAAGAGAATATGGTGCTTTATATATGATATAGATTTGATAGCAATTTACAAAAAATAACATGTTTTTGTTGGAGAGGAGAAGGTCAGACAAGCAAAGTCATCCCTTCAAAAGGGTGTTGAGTAACAAACTGAAAATTGGACAATGATATTCAGTAATTATGCTGCTCACTGATGTTAGCTTAAAAATAGCAGGATGGTAGACATCAACAGAAAGTAATCTAATACACCCATTCATACAACTAAAATGAATGGTATCTCAAGCACTTCCGTTGTAAAAAAAACGATTTTAATCACGGAAGCCTGACACTATTTTCAAAGGGATTATTTGCGTTAACACATCAGCCGACAAAAAAACCTACGTATTCTAAGGTAAATCGTGAGGTGTACGTTCACCCTCATCGAGAGTTCCGACGTATGCAAGGAATCAACACGAGGGACAGAGAAAATTCGAAAGTGTACATCACCACTAAGAACCAGTTGTTAATGGGATAAGGTACTATTGTGAAAAGCAAACAGAACTTCACAACAAGCTATATGAGTATACTCACTCTTGGAAATATCAGTGAGACTATGCGCGAACCACTGAGATCCTTTGTCCCTTTCCAGTGTATTCAAAAACAATGTGTCCAGGTCGGTGGCAGGCTGATTTCTACAAATAAGCTGTAGGCATTAACACTTAAATAGTTGCTACTGAAACATATCAGTGGAACTTCACTGTTCTTGTTGACTCCTGGTGGTCACAGTACCGACGCTACTGAAAGAAGTAAGCTTGCACCAATTCAACAAACCTGAATTTGGGATGACCGAAACTTGTAGGAAGTCCAAGCAATCGCATTTCCTCAAGAACTGACTCAATACCTCTTTGGTCGTCTAATTTTTGAGAGGGTTTGGAGATGTCCACTTGTGGAACAACGCATTCAGGTCTAAGATCCTGTTCCTCCTGAAGACATTGTGAGGAAGAAGACTCCGAATCACTATCGTCAGAGTCACTTTCACCATTTTGCAGTAAAGATAGTGTGTAGGCCAACGAATTATAATACCTCGAGGAAATTTTTGCTGGTCGTGCCTTTACTACAAAATCGGCATATGAAGAGGAGTTAAACGAACCAAAAGCCCTGGGTTTCGAACTAGCGGAAGATGAGTTTATGCCTTTAGAAACAAAGCCCGTAACTGAATGTGGGGATGAACCTCGTTTATCACCAACGGGAACGCCAAATTCAATTGGCATACCTTTGAAACAATCTCTTTAAGAGAAGCATTAGCAAAAGTTGCGACAGCTGTACGCAAAGAAAGCACGAGTGAACATCATACGAGTTGGTAATTTGTTGAAGGCTGAAGGGTAAGTAATGCAAACCAATTCCTTGATGTGGTTCATATCAAGCGCCATCTTAGCGATTTTCTTACCTGAAATTCAAAAATTCCAGTCAATGATGAGGTTCATTAGGACTACCATTGGATTACACCACTTCCAACCGGCACAGAAAAATATTTAAAGAAAAATCAAGGGACGGTGTAACAAAGGCATCGCCTCATTTGTTTGAGAAAAGCAGGAGCGTTGGGATACATGCAGATAGTGAATGATAAGAGATACTCATTAGCAAGAAGTTTGTACCACCATTTAACCAGTAGCCAAACTACTCCCAGTCCCCAGTATATGTAAACCAAATTACTGCAATTGCCACATCGAGCACGATATAAGCACGACAACCATTTTCAAACCCATGCGGAGGTTCACTAGCATCATAAATGTCAACAGCATGCTTATAACGCGAGTGTGCCTTGAGAAACCATAAAAACTACGAGAATGATAGAAGATTAATAGAGAGTGAGGAGCTGAACGCCACAAGAAATTGACAAGACAACCACCTGACGGCAAGCCGTGCCTCTTCTCCGTCAAAGGGGGCGCAATCGTCATCGGGCTAAACAAACTAAAATCGTGGTGACATTTGTATTAGAAGGACTAAAATATATCGCTTTCAAACTTAAACTTACAGTGATTAATAGTTGTATAAATTGTAGCACCGTAGTTATTGACAGTTTATATGCAGCCGTCGTCGAGCCATATTTCTGAGCTTATATTAATGGCGGGTACAAGAATTTTCTTCCCACTTTCTTAGTATCAATAGATACAAACAGAATACCACTTTTCGTCATGCGATTTCTTTCCTTCTCACCAGGTGCTTGAAGACGGCAATCGGGATTGAATACACGTACTCTTGGAGAAAATGTGGTAGATTAAGCCTTGGCTGAGATCAAAATCAACTCATACGTACAAGAGCTTCTTGTTAAGTAGATGACGGCTCCAATTTGGGCAAACAGTCAGCCGCGCCAATCACCAGCTACCATAGGTCCGACAGACTGTAATTGACCTTCTTAGCAGATTTAGATGATTCAAGCCTCGAGTGCGATCTGAAAACAGAAATCGTAGTTAGGAAATTTCGTTGACAATCAATCGTATCCAAGACTATGCGTTGGTAAATCGATCCAAACCAGATGTTTAGCAGGGGACTAGGATTTAAACAGTCTCGTATGGTGTCGCTTCTTATGCTGATAGCTTGCATGTGGGACATGGGACATCGTTTTAACCCTCCTGTCGTAGAGCATTAGAGGTAGCTCTCGCCTTAGGTTCAGCGCCCCCTTCGTGCGGCAGAAATGTCACAAACGATGATAACCAGGAAAGTTTTCGTAAAAAAGTCAGATTCGCTTTCCGCTGTTGCCATTGTAGCATCCCGAGAATTCTCACTAATAAGAAGAAAACGCTTTGTGGGACTGAATACATGTGCTCATGGAGGAAGTGGGCGAAATTACTTTTTGGCTTGGCCCAAAGGCATCTGCACATACACAAGAGCAAGATGGGTAGCATAGTAACTGTCAGTCATGCATCTGATCTCATAAACAAGGAACTGCGCTTTTGAACCTGTTTTAGCGAATTCGCAGATCCCCACCAGTAGCACAAATGATGTGTTCGAGAGCAAGCACCTTATGGGAGTATTATAATGGGAACTGGAAGTACAATGCCTTATTCATTCGACAAGCTGCATGGTTTGCAAACCTTAGCTGTCGTACTGCTTTTGTCGAGCGATCTGATCCTTGGTCCAATACAAAGTCCTAGGGTTTTTTCTTCTCTCCAACTACGAGCAACCAACGCTCTTGTGACGCCTTATAATACACAGTGGGAAGTCTCGGAACGCAGCCCACAGAGTAGCAAGACTTGGAGTTTATCTAAGACTAAATTAACAGCAAAAAGTGATACGACACACACTGAAATTGTCTTCAACATAAGGAAATGGTTCAGGGTTTCAACAAAACTGATGATGGTTAACGATAATACGTGAGGACCGCATCCAAAACCACGAGTTCTCTTGACAATAAATGTAACTGCGACGTCCCAAGACTTCTCTTTCGGTATTGGAAGGCAATGACTATGGTTGAGTGCATGCAATCAGAGAAGACTTGGGTGCTTGGGCTTAGCCCAAACAACAAAGTGACTGACTGAACATGGTACTAAAATAAATGAATTATAATTCAAGGTCTTTTCCGCCTCTAAGCTCCAACACTTCCTCCCTGTCACTCTACTAGCGCAAACTAGCGTTAAATCATGTAACAGGAAATTTCTAACACGTGATATAATGGCGATAGTTGCAGAAACTTTCTTCCCACCCTCCACATCTTTTATCTCAGTCTTCTTAAATGAAGGATTATTTAAAGATTATTTGTCAGATATCCCATAAGAGGTACAAGCAGAAGAGTAAATAGTGCGGTGTTGAAATTGAAATCGCGCCCCTTCCTTGACTAGCTATTCAAACAACTAATTTGTTTTGTATTAGTCATCATTTTCTAAACAAAAGCCCTTATCGAAATGCGTTTTGTGAATACGCCTCTAAATGCAAAGTAGCAACCATCTAGAAGTTTGTAAATCAATTTAACGTGTTTGACTGTCGGTATCGGCTGCATTGCCTCTATCAGGGGGGTTGGCCTTCGAACCACAACAAACGACCAACTTTCTTCCCTTTATGCTAGGGTAAATGCAGCCACGCCAAGCGCTGTGCCTCACCCATAAAAAGTGGCGAAATATTACGCATGTGCTCGAAGTTTTCGGCAACAGAGCAATAGAGTTAATCAAATATGAGCGAAAAATAGTTGTTCGATAGTATTAGACTATGAACCCCATCTTTTGATGTGACGCCCTCTACGACAAACAAACTAAGAACAAGTGCATGACTAATTTGTGAAGGAATGAGGTAATGATAGACGTGCAGCAGGATGACAGATCAAACACCACAAAACGCATTTCTTGAGGGCTACGCTGATAGAAGTGCCATGCATCGCTGGAGTACAGGTAGAGCTTTGAAAGGATGGATTTAGTAAGGGTCATGCATGATGTGAGGAGTCATTACAATGCAGTATTTGAGACTTGGCCCCACTTGTGGGAAGGTACATGCTAACTTGGTGGGTTCGCATTTACGAAACGACCACTTTACTGCAATAAGATGATCGCTTTGAAGATGATGCCAAGTTTAGCAAATGGGTGAATTTTCCAGAACTTATGAAGAGACGAAAAGGTTCACTTGAAGCTCATGCGAAAACTTTCGCAATTTTATAAATTCTCCAATGGTTCAAGGTTTGCCCACGTTATTTAAAATGCTTTTTTCTTCATGCCTCCAAATACAGAGGGATGCGCTGTTTGCCTCCTGAGTTTATATAAAAGGACTTCTACCGTATAAAGCACGCGGCCCAACTTTCCACTGCAAAAGTTTAACTTTCCAACTATAACCTTTGTGAACCCAATTTAATAAAGCTGAGCCTCGGCGCATGCTTCAAACCCCTTCTGTATATGAACAAAGAATATCCGGCAGAAGTTGCACTTCCATTATTGGCAATGCAGCTTCCTAATGACTTCTCATTCGGCACTGGAAGCCATAAACCTCAAACTAAAATGCAAAAATGGAAGAGGTATCGCTCTAACATAGCCCAGAGGACATTCCATTCGGCGTGATAATTACTAATGCACCATTGGATCCAACACCCATCTCTCAATTAGTACTTTATCACGTGCACTAGTCAGCCTTTTAAGGTCACAGGCTAAAGGTCGAAAACTGCATGCTGCAACAATGGTTTCACGGAATCATAGGGTTTGTGTTTCGATAATGCAGAAGGCTAAATGACCAGCATTGCTCACAGCGTAACATAGGTGCATATATCCACCAAACACTCAACATATTTAGACCATTTAAGTCCCACGCAAGAGCCGATATATGAAAGATGATAAAAATAGCAAGATCCAAACCTAAGCAAAAAATAGTACCGATTAATTTTTAACTACTGGGCCATTAATATAACCATGTTTAATCGTTTGTCTTAACCCTTTCATGACATGGCGTGACGATCAGAAAAACCAAGCACTCGTAATACAGAACTGAAAATAATTAACTGCGCAAAATGTTGGAGAATTGTTGGACGCTAGGAAAAAAAACCATGAAAGTACCCAGTTACTAAGACAAGAAAAAAATCTTTGACATGAGTGGCGGTTGCTGTAGCGGCCATAATGCTCCCGCCAGGCGGACTAGCCTTCAGATTAGATCAATAAATCCTCCTTTTTCTTTTCATTTTAAACATAAACATTGAACTTTATTGTTCTACCTTTCACTACATAACAAGAAGTACCGAAGCCCAACGCTGGCAAAAGCGAAAATCAAGTCCGACTTCGGTGCGGCTATAATCTTCTTTTAGCATAGTTTGGGAGAAGCTTTGCGATAAAACCGAAGTAAATATATTTATGAGAGAAGGTCGCCCTTTCTCTGCAACAAAAGTGCTGAGAATTGTATTTGCCTTTGGGATTTACCCCATCCCTATCATCCATCTGCAAGCTGTTATCAACTTAAGCGACATTTAAGGAAGATTTGCTTTCGAGTGCAATATCCAGAGCCTTCAAATTGGATGGAAGAAGGCATTAAATATGGATACTTAAGTGCGTTCAAGGCAGTGGCATGGTCCGAAAATCATCCCCTGTATGCACGAGCAAGTGACCACCAGTCATGCAGGCAGTCAAATAAACAAGGTATTCAGCAGAGTCCCTCATAAA